GCTGAGCAGAACACCTGCTCGATCACTTCCTACAATGCTGTGAACAAAAGACCTGCCATGCAAAACCCACAGCTTTCTGTTGTTGTAATGAACAGTTCACACTCGTAGAACTCCTTCCACAGCAACCTGTTAGGCCCCCAGTCCAGAAAAGTAGCACTGCAGCCAGAAGCCTGATGTCACTCTATGGTCTGACTGGTGTCCCTGCAAGAAGAATGTTACCACTTGTCTTTTTCTGTTTGCTCAGAGATTTAAGATTTTGACAATGGTCTGGATCAGAACTAAAAGCTGGGTAAATTCAAGGCCATTGTTCATATTGCTTTCTGGAAAAGAAAACACTTGCATCTTGGATGATGCACAAGTTGCGGCCTGTGCTTTGTGGGTAACTAAATGGACACAGTGCGCTAGTCCTCCTCTTGTTCCACAATAAGAGACTCTTTTGAATTTTCCATTCAAATATCACATCCTAGATCTTTTGAAAACCTCAAGGAATCTGGTATTTGTTCAGCACGTGTTTAAACTAGGTGAGTTTGACTGGACAAATCTTTTAGAAACCAGACACAACAATAACTTATCTACCCTAATACACTCTGGGTGCCAAGCATTTTTAGCTGCATGACTTCACCGCCCCTGCCTTTTACTTTCCAAAGAATCAGTGTAATTTGGGCCAGGCAAGGGGATGGCATTGAACAGGCACAGAGATGCAGTACGAGGCCAAAGCAAACCAGACAGAGGTGGCTGTTACCACAGGAAACTGCTCAGATTGCCCCCAGTGCCCTTCAGTACTGGCATGCATAACTAGCAGGTTGGAAGAGAAAGCTTCACTAAAGGACTTGAGCTCAAGCAGGGCTGGATTAACCTTTTAGCGGGCCCTGGGCAAACGAACTTGTGAGCCCCGGGCTGGTCAATACCAACCTCTGCACCCCAGCACCGCTGCCTGTGGGGAGCTGGGCTTGGAGCTACTGTTAGGAAGCAGCCACTGTGGTGGCAAGGCCGGTGGAGGGGAAGGGAAGGGAGGTAGACAGGGCCATTTGCATCCCTGCCAGAGGGAAAGGGGCTGCTCCCCTGCAGCTCATGGCCTTAGACATGTGCCTAGTTTGGCTATGCATTAATCCAGCCCTAGGCTCCAACACCCATCTGCTCTGCAGTGGTAGCAGACAGTGCCAGTGTGCAAACCAGTCCTTTTCTTTTTGAACTTGGAAGAAACAAATGGTCAATTTGTCGCCACCAACATGTTGCCTGGAAGCTAGAGGGAAGGTTCACAACACAAAGAACAGGTTTAGCTTAATAGCTCCGAGAGAATCAAAATATTGCGGACAAAGATTACCTTTTGAGAGAGACATTTAAGACACACAGGAGTTCTAATAAGAAAGAACTGGACCCTGTGGGTATGGAGTATTCAGTGATAGAAAAACCAAGGCTTGGCCCCTTTTACTTGTTTGCCTGGATTGGGTATTAGCCACATGCTAATCAATCACCTCTTGAGTGAAAGGGAGGCATTTTAACTCCCACCCCTTTCTATGTGTAGGGAGATACTCTTTATGAAGTCACAAGCTAAGCTTGCAAACCACTCTGGGGTCCATTTAAGTGAAAAGGTACTGCATTACATATCAAGCCCCTTAAAATGACTTGACATTACTCCAGTAGCTATTATCTCACTGCATGCTAATGCATTACTAAAGCCTGAGGGCATGAACAGGGGGAAAGGAGTTTCACAGGTGTTAATGCAGTTAATGCCTGCTCTTCCTAGTGATTACACACAGATGGAAAGAGTCCAGCTAAACTGTGAGCCTAGAGTGAGTTGCTGGGCTGACAATTAGGGAAGAAAAAAGTCTTTTACAGGAAAACATTTAGCAAGTTCACTCCCACACAGAATTATCAAACTCCAAGTCCTTTGCAGAGCCCAAGTCCTAAAAAAAAAAAAAAAAAAAAATACCAGAAAGAAATATTCTTAGATGCACTGATCTCTTTCTTTTCATACAAATTGCCCTTTGTATGAAAGTCTATCATCACACAGTTGCCTAGAAATGATCTGACAGCCACTTTTCTCTGCAAAGAGAGCAAATTACTCACTGGCAAGTCTAAGGCTAGGGACAGAAGTTACATATAAACCAGCTTAAGTGATCAGAAACCAGTTTAAATCTGTAACACAATGAAGTTCAGTGCACATAAACCACTTTCAAAATGGTCAAAACCAGTTTAACGTAAACCTGGATGGATGTAGTATTAGACTTAACTGATTTAGGTCAAACCAGTTTATGGAACGTCTGTCCCAGATCCCCTCTTGATTCAAGCTAACTTACAGTCCCCCAGCATCCCAGGATGCCTTGCAGCCCTGGGCTGGGCTGTCTGCTCCAGCAGAGCAGTCTCTGCCCCATGCCTCTACTCCCAATCCAGCAGCAATACCACTGCTCTAGCTGACAAAAAAAGCAGGTGGGGGGCAAAACCCTAGCACTGGACCCCAGGAAGGAAAGGAGGGAAGCCCTTGGAGACTTTTCCCCCATTCTTGCTTGTGGGGTGTAGCCAAGCTCAAGCCCAGGCTGGGCAGCCTGGCTGAGTGTGACTGGAAGTGTTAACTTCCTTCACCCCCGCCCGCCCCCAGCTGGGGTCTGCTTGGCTGAGGCTGGGGGGAAGCTATCAGAGGCTCCCCTACTGCAACAGGCAGCATGCACAGGCCCTGGCCCAGCTAGCTTAGTATCATGGTGGCGGTGGCCAGGGGTGGATGGGGACGGGGGACTCAGATGGCCAGACTTGGCTGGGGCCTGGGCACACCCCCATCTCTGTTCGAGCAAGGGGCAGATGAAGCCTCTGAGGGCTTCCCTCTCAGCTTCCTTCTGGCAGTGACTAGCAAGCTGGGAGGCATGCTCTAATGCCCACCCCCCCCCCAGCTTCTGGCCTGAGCTGCTGCAGGCATGTGGCAGCATTTCCAGAAACAGAAGTAAATGTCTGTTCACTTGCTTATCGGTTCAGTCTATGCAGTTTAGGCTAACCTGCAAAGACTGAACTGATTTAGCCTCAGGGTTTTTTGACTGCCTGTACTTAGCCTAAGGGTTTTCATAGGACAGTCATTTAATAAGATACATGAGGAGTCCTGGGAACAGGGAGCAGAACCAGGTTCCTGTTAAATTAGGCCTTTCCTAATTCCTGGGCAAGTGGCTTGACAAAGAAGCTACTGTACAAAAAGGCTGACAAGAAAAACTCAGCGGCAGCCAGCCTTTTTAATGAAGAGACTGCAATGGCAAGTACATCTTACATGCTCCGAGAACACCTGTTGAATCAAGCTCCCAGGGAACTTGCGACAAAGGAATATCTAGGTTTTGGATCCCAACTGGCTTTAGGTGTGAATCAAGCACTAAGTGCATTTTTACATGTGCTGTTGGATGTGGTACCGGGTACTTTAATTAGCAAGCTGCATCAATAAAAAGCGCCCATGCATCAGCCTTGGCACACATTCCCACGCTGAAAAAATGGCAGTGGGGTGCTCTGAACTAAAGCTCATAGACGTGTTTTATTCCAAAGTGTCCCACTGCCATTTTGCCAGTGCGGACACGTGCAGTGATGCTGGTACACATGAGGTGTGAGGCTGCTGAAGCACATCCATTTCCATGCTTCAGCAGCCTCAATTCATCAAGTCTGCTCTGATACGCTGGATTTCCAGTGCATCGGAGCAAGCTCCCCACATGTGCATAGGAGCCCTTAGCTATTCAGCTCATTCAAGCCTGGTAATTCTAGTTACGCCCAGAGAGTACAACTGGGAAATTTGGAAGTCAAAATAGTAATATGCCTTTGGGGTTTAGATTTCTCCAAGATGAGCATCAAATGAGCCAGGAAATCCTGGATTACACCTTTGGATTTAGGGACCTAAATTTTCCCGTGAGTCTTACCTCAGGCATTAGAGTCCTTTTTCAGATTTAGCATTCCATTAAATGCTTCAGCCAAAAGTTAATATTAAAAAAAAAGCTGATGCTCAGATCAGAATTGCGAAGGAGGAGACCATTAGGTCTTTTACGACCAGGTCACTAAATCATTGGATGCAGGGGTGGCAGTGGATATAGTTTTCCTAGACTTCAGGAAGGCTTTTGATACTGTCTCTCACCCCATTCTCATTAGGAAGCTGGGGGACTGTGGCGTAGACACCCATACAGTCCAATGGGTCG